TTTGTTTAATGATGTTTCTCATTTGCGATATAATTTAAAAGAAAAATCTTTATTTGCAAATGATTCCCGTGCACGAGCTAATGGTCCACAAAAACAAATGGATATCTTTCATTGCACAAATTACAATCGGAAGGGTCATTTACAAGATTATTATTTTGACCGTGCTAGTGCACCATATGCACCCAAGAGGGTTCATAACCCTAGGGCTTTGAGCTTAAAAGATAGGGGTCATGTCCCTAAATTTCTTGGTACCAAGAATTCTTGGGTACCAAAACAAATTTGATTTTTAAAACCAAGTATTTTAGTATTTTTCTTTTTCCTTTTCTTGGTTTTGAAAATTATACTTTAACTTTTTGAACATGAAAATAATTCTTTTTATTGGTCAAATTCTTTTGTTTTCATGATTATTGGTTTTGTTTTGATGAGATGTTTGTGTTTATATAACCCCCCGGATTTATTAGGTGTTTATTCCTAAATCTTATTTACCGGGTACTAATAGTCCTTATATGGGTTGAAACAAGATTTAGAGCTTGATATATTATGGCCTCTCTTGCATCTCTTTTTTTTCAAAAATTTTGTTTTGATTTGTTCTTTTGAATTCATTATATAAGCACAAAAAGATGAGTCAAATTTCAAATATGTTTATAATGTATTCTATGAGTGGTTTGATCAAGTTCTTCAAAATTTTTTTTATTTGATCAAACATCGTTTTTGGATATAAACTTTGATTTATGATTTCTTTTGGTTGATTTGTTTTCATTTGAAAACTTTTTGCATGATTCTCATGTTCTTCTTCTTTTGATTTCATAAATCCATACATTGTTATGATTTATTTTGAAAATATCCATTCTTAATTTTGTTTCCTTATCCCCTCACATATAAGCAAATTATTTTCCTTCATGGATCCTCCTTCATAAACATTTTTTTTAATGATGCCTTTTTGGATCCTCATTTCATCTTTTTAGGGCAAGTATGATAAATGTTTGGTTTGTATATATACATCTTAAAATCTTTGTAACACCCTTCATGATGTATGAGGCATTTTGATAGGGGGAGCAATCCCTATATCTTTTTATGTTTGATACTCACCCGTGCTTATTGATAGGGGGTTTCGCTCTCTTAATTCTTTTGGTTCCCCTTTTTGATGTTGTCAAAGGGGGAGAAACATTGTGAGTATATATTTCCTTGTTTATATGCATGTGAATTATCATTTATATATTCATTACCTTTCATGTATATATCCTTTTTGTAAATTATTTGTCATCATCAAAAAGGGGGAGATTGTTGGCCTTCTTGTTTTGATGATGATTTAATAAACAATTTACATCTAATATTGTTTGTCTAGTGTTTGTATTTTGTTATTTATTATAGACAAACAATATGTTAGAGGATGGATGGAATTGCGCATTCACGATCATATCCAATGAAGGTTGACGGAATTGTGGAGTGAAGCCTACATAATTCAAAGTTAAAGATTCAAGTTCAAGCTTTATCCGCAAGTATACCAAGATAGAGCTTCATCGAAGATCAATCAAGCTTGGGTAAATTTAGTTTTAGGTTTTATATTATGTGTGTTAGTACTTTAAGCTCAATCATATACACACATACACGTTTTGGCTTTGTATATATATATAGTTATATATATACATATGTGTTTTGGTTTGATAATTTTTAAGTTTTAATATGAAGCAATTGAATATAATTAGAAAACATATTTTTATTTCATACTTACATGCATATATATGATTTCATCAATATCAATTTTATTTAGTTCAATGAAATCATGTTTTAGTGCATTATATGTGTATTTTGATAAAATACTATATTTATTATTTATAGACTTCATAACAATAGTTTACATCTTTTTTCAAGTCTATAAAATTATTTTGTATTGTTTCAAAACATGGTTAAGCTAAAATGTCAAAACTCATATGTTCACATTTTCATGTTTTGGACTATTTTACAAAATAATGATATTTTTTATTTGGGAGATCCTTTTTGAAAACCAGTCTTTGTAACATGTTTATTATCATGTCTACAATCATTTCCCAAAGTTTTACATTTTTCTAAATTTATTTGATATTTTTAAACATGGTTTTAAAATCAAAAAACTATTTATAAACCTGAAATTTCATATGTCAGTTTGCGGTCGACCGCCACGGTCGACCGCCCCTGAGTCCAGAGACTCAGGAAGTTGACGGTCGACCGGATGTTCTCGCGGTTGACCGTCACGATCGACCAGATGTTTTTCTGTAGCCAAACTCTGGCCTTTTTGCTGCTCGCGGTCGACCGCGAGTTTTCCACGATCGACCGCCGATTGCCCAACGACTATTTTTGGTACAGAATCAGATTTCTGATTCTTTGGGGTTTTTAGTCTTTTGTTTGGGGTTTTTGCTGTTGGTTTCTCTTCCTATATAAACCCCTCAAACCCCTTCTACCAGAGATAACCCAATGGAAAGTTTAAAAGAAGTTTAAAAGAGTTTTAACAAGGGTTTTAGTTGGGTTTAAAGTTTGTTTGGTTTGTCAAGATTGTTTTACAAGTGGAGAAGATCATCTACATTGATTGAGCCACATTTTAATCCACCTCTCTATCTTGTTTTTCAGAGAAGAATTTCTAAACTCTATTTCTAGCTATTTATTGTTTTGTTTATAATTTCGATATGCTAGAATTTAATTGAGTTTAGTTGATTGTTTTTCTCATTGCTTACACACACAACCATTGAGCTTATTGTATTTTCATACTTAGTATAATTTGGGTTGTGGGGAGTTGTAATAATTGAGAGTGAGCTACATTGAGTTCTCATCTATTGTAAAGAACATATTTGTTGTTATATTGTTAGTGTTGTAAAGTTTTCTGTGAGCTAGAAAACCGAGTGTGAGGAGTGAAAGTTGATCGGTGAGCGTTGAAAACCGACATTGTGAGTGTTTGTGAACGTTGATCGGTGAGCGTTGAAAACCGACAATGTGAGGTGTAAACGTTATTCGAGTGATCGTAGAAAATCCGGTTGTGTTAGTGGATTTCTCCCCGGGAGTGGGGAGCGGAAACGTAGGACGGAAGGTCCGAACTCCGTGATCATATCGTGTGTTTGAGTTTGCTTTGGTACACTTACTCTTATGTTTATGTTTCTTATCGCCATTGTCCATTGCTCATTATTTATATCATCCACTATCTTGTTTATTTTGTTTACCCTTGTGTATATCACTTATCCTAGGTCACATATCTTATTGTATTTTATACTTGCTATGATAACTTGTTAATTAGTTTTAATTGGTATAAAATCGGATTAGATTAGCATAAGACCCTAATCACCCCCCTCTAGGATCTAACAAGTACCTGAAATCATGTGTGAAAAGAAGAGCAAAGAGGCGTATGCCATCCCTCCTCACATAAAGTTTATTTTACATGATATATAATCTATATAAAAAACCATACACATCAACAACTAAGGTGGGTTAAAAATTTCAAATTTAAACAGAACACCGAAAATCAATAAATTGCGAACAACCCCCTAAAATTTTTAGATTTGCATAGAACACTACAAAACTTTTAAAACTTACAAAAAACATCTCAAAAATTCAAAATTTGCAAAAAGATCCTAAAACATCAAACAAAAAATAGTACACTGTAAAAATATAAGAATTACAAATAGCCCCGATAATTTTTAATTTGCAAAAAACACCCTAAAACTTTCAAAAGTTGCAAAGAAGACCGTAAAATGCAAAATTTTCTATAAACTCCTTGCAAATTTCTAACCTAGAAATAGTTAAATTTCTCGGCGCACTACAATTTGACTCTGAGCGAAATCATATAAAGATTTGAATTACCACCTTGCAGATGTGTAGTATTCAGTAATAAAGTAAAGAAAATCATGCGTGGTAGCATAAGGAAAAAAATTGCAAGATTCTTTCTATGATTATAATAAATACAAGGTTATAGTTTCTTGAATGATACTTATTTGTGAGGTTAATGATATTCAGCCACAAATGTTCTTCTTTTGATGATGATCTTTGAAGGATTTAGGCTTATGTGAGATGTGAGGATCAATTTTGAGGAGAGAGCACTTATCCTCTTACCTCATTTTTATCTCCCGAACAAATCCTAAATCCATCACCTCCTTAACCACCATGCTTCCAATCGCACCACCCAACACCCTTCCTCACCTCTTAGATTCAAGGACATTTTGGGAAGTCTGTCAGCCAAGTCCTCATCTTTCTCTTTGCGTTCTTTTTTTCTTTTCCGTCTCAATGGGATGGGAGGGATGGGAGT